CCCCCGGCTATGTCTGTCTTCTTCTCCAATATCCCTCCTTCCACTGTCTCTCTCCTTCGATACCCTGTGATGATACTCCGCGGCTATGGCCGCTACCTTCCTTCTCCACCGGACTACACACTCGCCTCACAGCTAAGTGACAACCAATCTTGGATCGCTCATCTCTCTCCGTCTCTCTCTCCCGCCGCAGCGGTATCTTCAGCGCAGCAGGTAATAACCCAATCTTGTAACACTCTCTCTCTCTCTCTCTCTCTCTCTCTCTCTCTCTCTCTCTCTCCACCTTCTTCTTCGTCGTGGTCCTCTGCCTGCAGGTGCGCGGCGGCTTCTTAAACTCGAGGTCCGCTATGGCGGACTGCCTCCTTCGGTCACCACCTAAGCTATGGCGCTTCGGCCATGCACACGACGGCGCGCGTGGAACAGCGGGTACCCGCTCCGATACCAGTGCAATCAGATTCCGACTCAATACACTTTTCATGCATGTAAACAGCGAAACAGCAAACTGGCGACATGCGCCCACTCAGTACTCGAAGATATCGCAACCAGATAAGAGTTCTCTTGAAATTGGCTATGGCGGCTCTGCGCCCAAACAACTCGCTGTTCACACTCTGGATCACCCTGGATGTCCCACACGCAAGTCTAAACACTCACACAGTACACACACACTGGACTCTGCACTAAGCTATGGCAGCTATGGCTGCCGCTACCTATCGCTATGGCTACATTGCATCACCCTCGCCCACTTCGTCTYCGGGCCTTCTGCAGACCTCCTCGCACAAGCTGCTGTGGCAGCGCTTCCGCATGGCTTCCGCAGGAATGAATGAATGGCTGGGTGCAGCCTCTTGATTTATACTTTTGTGATGCGTTGGTCTGCCCTACAGCCCTGGCCCATGGTGCACACAGTCCCAAACGGTACTTGCTTGACTGGACCGGACTGGGTGGACTGGGACTGCTGACGGTGCAAGGTGGACTTCCACCACTTGACCACTTGCCTCTGCCTAACGTAGGCTGACTCCGAAAGGCCAGTTCTAGAAACCTCTACTTTGGCCTTTCGGTACTGTAGCAGCTACGACTTTGCCCTTTCAGGTAAGTAGCAGCTACGACCTTGACCCTTCGGACAGTCTACAGCTACAACCTCTGGACTGTCTAGACTCCTACCCTATAGATCTACAATTTGAATCCCTTCTACCCTGTAACCTACGAACCACCAAAATCTACTTGCGGTGGACACATTCTCTCTCAAGGAAGAATCTGGGGTGGGCTTCGTTGCTTTAGGAGCCGGCTTTGTTATCGACCCGAAGTGGACCGTTTTACGGGGGGGATACTTTACCGATTCGGTGGAGACGGCCCGACTTCTGAGATCCGAGCTCCATGCTCGGACGAGGAGGGGGAGTACCCCAGACCACTTCCTAGAGGGTTGGGGGCGTGACAGCGTCCGGGAATGAGTAATTATTGCTCAGGAGGAAAAAGCAACCAACAAAATTTTAATTCACAAGATGATACCTTCCTCCAAGCAAGCTGTATAAGTTGCGGAGGTGTGGTCCAAACTGAGAGTTCAAACTTCGGCCAGGAACCTGATCACTTGTTCATCTGCATGGTAGCAGAGGAATTTACTTGCAAAAGTCATTCATGGCAAGGTTTATTGGGCGTGTCAGAGGGCCTACCCATACATCGAGTGTTAGTTGTTTTTTTTCCTAGTCTTTTGTCAATAAAGAACCTCGGCCTCGAAAGTGGCAGAATAAAAATTTCTTCGGTCATGTAGGCTGGGAAGAGAAACTTTGGCAGACCATCTCATCAAGCCCAAAACCGACCAGGGACGGCTTAGGCGTCCGTATGGCGTTCTTCCCCGACGCAGCCCGAGCTGATCTTATACGATTGGATAAGGCATGTTGAATTTATTTGTTTAGTTTTTAGAGAGTTGAAAAGGGACTAGGGTTATTTTACGAGTTTCACGTTTGGTTGAGACCGTCCTAGTCGACTGAGTACGCTTCGTTCTTAGGAGATCAGCGCCCTAAGGAACGAACGACTTCCAGGTTCAATAGGCGTTTTAAGCACGCATACCTACACTACAGCGAGCGAGCAAATGCCCTCGGCTGACCTACCAGAGCAATTGCATTTAAAAGCTTTCGCACGTGGTTCACTAGCTCGGTGGGGATAGCTCAGTAGGGATAGCTCGGTAGGATACGCAAGTTGTGCCCCACGGGAACCTGTCCTGTCGTAGGGGACCGCGAGAAGTACGGCTGGCGCACCCGGCTAGAGCGGCGAAGGGACGACGCGACCTTGCCCGTCTCGATGGTTCGCAGGATTATTCATGTGTCGTCCTCGAGTTGCTTCTATACCTTTTTTCTAAACTCCTGCGTGACATGGCCAGGAGGGCTCCCGCCTTTTGCGGAAAAGGTGGGAGCTGATGTGCTCGACACCGGATGACGTTCGCATAAGGATTTGGCTCGGGTCACTCATGTCCCACACAATGAGTTCCCCTTCTTGTACATTGCCAAAGCACAAGTGGGTGGGTTCTGAAACGATGCACCAGGCAGGGAGTGATGAACACTAGTTTACCAGGCTTCACCCAAAAATAAAAGGAATGCTTCATGGGGCAGCAAGACAAGGCCAGAATTTGCCAACAGATGAAGCATTCCCATTATGCACACACACAGCTCATCCACAAGGTGACAAATGTGCTCAAAGAGTGGAGCCAGTGCATTGTGCAGTCCATGCACTGCACACAGGTTGGAGAGGACAATACTGCACAGTTTGCCCACTTCCCAGTCTCAGAGGGCACAACAGTCTCAGTGAGCACAGAACGCCGACAGCCAAGTGAACGAGCATGATGGCTACAACAACAGCAGCATTGATGGAGAGGAGCAGTGGTCTACATTTGCATAGGTTGTGGAGGGCAGTATTGCACACAGCTACCATGTTCCCCCACGCCCAATTGCGGTGAGCTCAAACTACTGCCAGCCAAGTGAACGAGGATGTTGGCTACAACAACAGCAGTAGTGATGGAGAGAGAAGACGTGCAGTGATCTGCATTATATATTTCCCTGCATTGCCTTTCTGTTAGAAGGCACTGCACTGGACAGAGCATTGGAGAGGAAGATCCGCTTGCAGGCTGTGATCAAGAAGTCCATGAAAGCACAGCAGCTGCTGAAGGGTGTGACGAAAAAGGTTACCTTGCTTATCCCCGTTGAGAACAGATCAGTGTGGAAGACTGGGGTGGACAATGGCTCCACCCAAAACTGCTCCCAGAAGGTGATTCACAAGCTGTACATAGGGATTACTATGTAGGGCCTCCATACACCTATGGAGATCAAGCTGGCAACGGGGATGTGATCACTATGTTGTGACAAAGGACAACCAAACAAGACATTTGGTGTGTCTCTTTACAGATAACCCGCCTTTCAGATGGCTCTACTTCAGTGCTGGCTCAGGGTTGCATGAGCTGTGATTATGTGTGCTATACAGAGGGCAAGTATTGGATGCCATAGGTAAGGTAATTACCTGCGTAAGGGGATATGCAAAAGGAGCATTCAAGGGTCAGCCGAGCATGCCGTGCATGAACACCATTACACATAGACCTGCAGACCCCTTACAGTGAGGATGGCGTACAAAACACATTGAGGCTGATTGGAGTTCAGGCATCTGGCAGAGAAGCCTATGCGAATAGCACACAGATGTGAAACACTCCATTCAATTGACGTGATAGGAGCAGTACCGCTCAAGGGAAGAGTGTACCACATATCCCAACAAACGGCGAGGGCTTGAAGAATCAGCTGAAAGAATTATCTGGCAAGGGGCAGATTAAACCACTGGTACTTCCGAAAGTCGCGGCGCGCATGCGGCCAGCCATTGCTGCAATGCCGTGCCGTTTCCACTTGAATGAATTTATGCCAGCGCCCCAGGCCCATTCATTCCAGCATGTCGTGGCCGCATCCCTTTTGGAAGTACCGTATGAAGTGAGTCATGATGCGACTCAGTGACACATAGGGTAATGGTTACCTTATGCCAGGGCCCCAGGCCCATTCATCCCAGCACGTCGTGGCCGCATGCCTTTTGGAAGCACTGGTGGTTTAAACTCAAAACTTCACCCTGTGGAGCGCCAGTGTTAGTCATACCCAAAACAATGCATGAGCACGCATGTGCATTGACTGCAGAGGGTTGAACAACATCATAATCGAGAAGGCTGAACAATTATCCAAGATTGCTGATCTATTGGATGGCGTGCACGGCTACAGGTCTTCTCCAAGACTGACCTGAAGAGCTGAGATCATCATGTCAAGTTGGAGCCTGCAGATCAGCACAAGGCAACATTCTAGACCAGATATGACAGCTATAAGTTCACGGTTATGCCGTTTGCTCTGACAAATGCACCAGTGATGCTTCGGGCCATGAACGGCTGTCTTGATCAGTTCATGGTGATGCAATTCGAAGATAAATCTCATGTTCAGCCACAGTGATGAAAACGTGTGAAGCATATGAGAAAGTAGCTCGATGCATTGTGGAATGGAAAGCACAAGAGTAACATGAAGTAGAGTATGTTTGGGAGGCGCAAGATCTTGTACCTTGAGCATGTGATTGATGGGCCCGCAGTGAGAGCCAAGGGGAATTAGCTGGGGGCGTTCACAGATTGACCCCAGCCGAAGAAGTGGAGGTCCGTCTTTCCTCAGTGTGGAACACCATGAGAAGTTCATCCCAAAACGAGTTAATGACGGTAACACCATTGACCAGGGTGACAGCAAAAGATATACCTGATGAACGTAAGAGGTCCTTTCAGACTCACGTAGCAACTTATATAGCACCCCATCTTGAAGCGTCTGGACCAAACAGTACCATTTCAGAAATTAAATTCCACAGCAACACGACCTATGCACAAAGATGCTTGGAGAGTCCACTAATGCCCAGATTCTGCGGTTCCCTTGATCCTGAAGAAAAGGAATGGACTGGCAAAATCACGCTGATGGAGTCCACACATCATATTGTCACAGCCTATGAAAGGCAAGTCCAGGATCAGAAGGGGCTACATTGTCTGCAAAATGGCAGAAACGTCTACAGAATCCTTTGCATTTGCAGTTGCGCTGTAGTATGTCTCCTGATTTCCTGCGGGTTTATAACTTCATACCTGTGTTAAATTCCGGGCCGCCCGGCGGCTCAGCCTCCGTCCAGCAGGGGTCCCGGGCGGCCCGGCCGGTTGGGTCCCCCGGTTGTATGCCGGGCGGGCCCAGCGCATTTTTGCGCAGGGGGGGGGGGGAGGCCAGTTTCGACAGTTCTGGGCCTTGGGAGCCTCCCCGCCCCCCCGCGCAAAATTGTTCCCACACGCGCTTCGAATTCGGAGCATCCCGTCGCTGCCGAGGTAGCCCGTCGCTGCCGAGGTAGCCCGTCGCTGCCGAGGTAGCCCCGCCCGTCGCTGCCGAGGTACTCCCCCCCGTCGCTGCTGAGGTAGTGCTCCCGCCCGTCGCTGCCGAGGTTGTACTCCCGCCCCGCCCGTCGCTGCCCTCCCCGTCGACGGCCGTTGCTGCCCGCCATCGCCGAGGTGCCCTCGTCACTGCCGCCGCCGCTGCCCGTCGTCGCTGCCCGTTGGGCAGCTCGTCCTCGCTGCCCGTCATCGTCGAATCGGTGCCGTTGCCTTGAGCCGCGCGTCAGCTCTCTCTCTCTCTCTCTCTCTCTTCCTCCTCCTCCTTCGTCATCCTTATCTTTTTTTTTTTTTGTCGACGTATCAAGAAACCGCCAGATCCTTCTCCTCCTCCTCCTCCCCCTCCTCCTCCCTTCGTCTTCTTCTCTCCTCCTCCTCCTCGTTAATTTCCTTTATCAGTCGGAGTGCCACGTCACGTGTCAGGTGAAGTTCCTCCTCCTTTCTCCTCCTCCTCCTCCTCCTCTTCC